TGTGTGACTCAAACGTCTGTTCAAACTGTTTCCCAAAGGAATTGAAAAATAGTGAAAGGTGAAGGCGATGGGCAGGATTGATCCACAGGAAGAACCAAAAAGGAAACATTTGGCAAAATCATCCCAAGTTTGCAGCAAATATTTTGTATGTGGGGCACCAACAAAGCAAAATCCTGATCCCTCGCTCAACCTTGGTTACGAATTTAAAAAGTCAACGCCAAAGCAAAAGGCACCAACTGTTCACCAAGAAACACCTTCCACTGCAAAGAGACCAAGACGTGATGTTGCTGTAAAACCACAAGAACAAGAAAGTGCAGCTCAGTCTGTTTGTCTTCTGCTCCTCTCCATTAACAAACAGGATCCCGCTTTGTTGTCGCTCCACATACAAAATGTTCACTGCAAACTCGGGATGATTTCTTAGGCAGACAAATGTTTCCTTTTTGGTTCTTCCTGTGGATCAATCCTGCCCATCGCCTTCACCTTTCACTATTTTTCAATTCCGTTGGGAAGAGAAACAGTTTGAACGGAGGTTTGCATCACACACATCTGATTCACTTTTGCAGTTATGGAGCTCACAAACAAAATTTCTCGAGCCGTTTTCAGCTGTTAGGATCCAACAATCACACAATTACGACGTCCGAATCCCAAAACTAAAATATGACAAAATCAGAACCAGAAACAAAAGTGATATGGTTCAAAAGACTTGAAAAGATCGACTTTGTCAATAGACACATCCCACTGGGAAAACAAACATGGAGGTTTGATGCTCACTTTTTCGAAGGATCTTTCCCAGTGTGAATTGCGCGATGACCGTAAATCCAAAATTCAGGATGCGTGTATTAGTTCAAAATCTCATCTCAATCTCGTGGACCCATATCGTGTCTCGTCTCATGAAAATTCTGTCTCGTCCCACCCCTGCGGTGTACGCTGTGATTGTGTGTATGACTGTGTGTACGCCGTGTCTGTGTGTCTGTGTGTATGATGTGTGTGATGCTGTGATTGTGTGTGCTCTGTGTGTCTGTCTGTGTGTATGACTGTGTGTATGTCTGTGTGTCTGTGACTGTGTGTATGACTGTGTGTATCTGTTGTGTGTATGACTGTGTGTGAGTCTGTGTGTATGTGTATCTCTGTGATTGTGTGTATCTGTGTGATCTGTGTGTATCGTGTGTACTGTGTGCTGTGTGTACGTGTCTGTGTGTACGCCGTGTCTGTCTGTGATTGTGTGTATGACTGTGTGTACGCCGTGTCTGTGTGTACTGTGTGTACGTGTCTGTGTGTACTGTGTGTACTGTGTGTACTGTGACTGTGTGTACGCCGTGTCTGTGTGTACTGTGTGTACCTGTGTGTCTGTGTGTACGCCTGTGTGTCTGTGTGTGTGTACTGTGTACTGTGTGTATGACTGTGTGTACGCGTGTCAGTGTGTACGTGACTGTGTGTATGACTGTGTGTACGCCGTGTCTGTGTGTACGCTGTGATTGTGTGTATGACTGTGTGTACGCCGTGTCTGTGTGTACGACTGTGTGTACGCTGTGATTGTGTGTATGACTGTGTGTACGCCGTGTCTGTGTGTACGCTGTGACTGTGTGTATGACTGTGTGTACGCCGTGTCTGTGTGTACGCTGTGATTGTGTGTATGACTGTGTGTACGCCGTGTCTGTGTGTACGCTGTGATTGTGTGTATGACTGTGTGTACGCCGTGTCTGTGTGTACGCCGTGTCTGTGTGTGATTGTGTGTACGCGAGTCTGTGTGTACACTGTGATTGTGTGTATGACTGTGTGTACGCCGTGTCAGTGTGTACGCTGTGACTGTGTGTATGACTGTGTGTACGCCGTGTCAGTGTGTACGCTGTGATTGTGTTTGTTATAAAAACACTCGTGACAGATACAAGTGTCTTTGGTTCAGACGGATTACAGCCTCAGAGCAGGAGCCTGGTGTTTAACTCGTCCTTTATTTTGTACATTTTCAACTTTTGGGGGGAAATTAAAACATCAGAAAAAAACAAACTGTCATTGTGAGACCATGAAGACAATTGATACTTTGCCGTTTATGTCGTCAGCGTTCCCTGGAGGTGTGATGCTAACTAGAAGCTCTGCTCTGTCTGAAGTCTTACTCAAGTTAGACTTTAATCTCATGAGCTTTAATTTAACACAACCGGACCAGAAAGAAAGAGCTGGTTTAGTTGGAACTGCAACAGATGAAATGATTTGTGCTGCTAAACAAGTCTCTCATTCATAAAATTACAGTCACAAGGGGGGCCGCCGCCTTATTCTGACATCCCTTCGTTACCACTGTTGGGCAAGTCACTTCAAAACTGTAATGTGTTATTTAAGACTTGTTTCTGTCATTTCAAAGTAATTCGTTACATTACAATATTACTGTGTTTAAAATATAAAACATTACACGACGATTGTATTACTTTAAAGTTACTCTCACCAAAATAACGCTGATCATCAAATAACAATCAGTGAGAGAAGATGCCGAACGTTTGCACCATACAGTGAACCCTCGTTTATCGCGGGGGATATGTTCCAAAAATAACCCGCAATAGGTGAAATCCGCGAAGTAGTCAGCTTTATTTTTTACTGTGATTTTACAATGCAATACTGAACTGCAGAATGAAACAAAAAATAAAACCTCTTTTCAGGCCCAACATGTGTTAAAGAAATAGAAATATTAACGTTTTCTTACAAATAACTATAATAGTTTAAAGAACGGTGTTGTAAAACAATATTTTTATATAGTAATGAATACAAGGTAGGAAACATTGTCACTCGCGTATTTCACAGTCCCTCCAGCTGCGCCTCTTCGTCCTGACTCCGTTGCGCTGTAGCGTCTTTTTCTACTGAAGGCTGCGCATTTATTCCGTAATGGCGCCCTACAGCCGCATAGCTTTTACCTTCCTTCAGCATGTCCAGAAGTTTAACTTTTTCTGCAATAGTTAGCATCTTCCGCGGCCTCTTTGGCGCGTCTGGAGGCCTCTTTGTCGGCACAGAACGTTTCTTTGACATTGTGGGTTTTGTCACGGAGAAAAATTGCGAACGTAAATTTGGCAGAATGTACAGAAACGAAAACTGTTGGCATGGGTGTAATGAAAAACCAATATAAACCTTTTTCACTTCTAGACAACAGTAACGCCCCTAAGCCAATCAGGATTCACTGTAAAAAATAAAGCACTGTAAAAAATTCCGCGAAGCAGCGAGGCCGCGATAGGTGAAGCGCGATATAGCGAGGGATCACTGTATATGAACTGAACCAGGACTAAACCAGGTCTAAATCAGGACTAAACCAAGACCAAACCAGGACTAATCTTGGTGTAGGACTTGAAATCTAAGGCCGCCCCTGAGATAACCCTGAGCTCATGGAGCAGGGTGACTGCAAAGCACGACCGGACGTCGGCTGCCCATAGCCCCGTGGAGCGTGGAGTTCTGCGTTGGTTCTTTCACCCGCGGTCACCCGACGGTCTACGCGGACGCACCTCTGGACCCGTCCCAACATTCAGAACTGTAACGATGGCGTTTCACCACTGCTGATATCTGAGCCAAATATAAAACTATTTCTTACCTGGAGATTTAATGAGATATGAGTAAATGTGCGGGTATGACTTTTGCGACGCTGAGTCGAGCTGTTGTATTTTGTACATCGGAAACTGAAGGGGCAGGTTTTCATATGAATTTAATCAAGCTTTTGTACGTGTCTTTCACAGTAAACGAGCGGCCAAGTGTTTATCTATTGAGTAGTCATATTGATTTGGTGTATCTTCTGTTATTATCTACACCTGGAGTTCTGTATGAATTACGTTTATTAACCCTAATTTGCATGAAAGGTAATAAGAGGGGTCGTTTATTTTCCCCCAGAAAAGTGGCGTGAACGTTTCTCACCGGTCCAGTTCCCGGATGAGCCGGTCTAACGTATCGCAGCATGTAGCTAGTTAGCATTAGCCAACAGTTTTACACTTAGTCATTGTCGCAGCTCTGTGTAAAATTTAACTCCTAAACAGGATCATGAACACTCATATTGATCACAGGCACCTGAAAATCTGCTGTTTAACTCCATTTTGTGTTTTTCTCTTGAGTTTTTAGACCATCAACTTTACAGCAAAATAGGTTAAGTTCAGACTGCAGGGCTTAACGCTCAATTCAGATTTTTTTGGTGAAATCCGATGTTTTTGCGAGGTCGTTCACATTTCCAATTTAATGCGACTTGTATGTGTCTCCAGTGTGAACAGTAAATGGCCCAAAAGTGTCCCGCATGTGACACTGGAGACACGACGACGTCAACCGCAGCGAGCGTCTCTGTGTTTACGGAAGTTGTCCAAACATGGACGCAGCATCGAGCACCTGGAGATTTTAAAGTTCCTCTGGTACCGGAGCCAGAACATGAACAACTTACTTGTTTTAAGGAGGAGATTGAGAAGGAGAAGGACGAGGTTTTTGGCTGTAGCTTTTGTGGATCAGTCCGTTGAAAGGAACGTGTGGATGTGGAGACGGAGCCAAGAGTGGTGAGTGGTGATGTGCTTCACTTCAGTGACACGGAGTTCATTAACAATTTTCACCTACTTCAGCGCAGAATAGTGACGTTTGTGTCTTGTTGATAACGTGTAGGTGGATGAATGCCCTTTTGTCCGTTCACACTGAAGTCACATGTCAAAAGATCAGATATGTATCAGTTTCAGGAGCACATATCCAAGTGTCCTGGGTCACATTTGAAAAAGTCGGATCTGTGTCGCTCAGACTGTCATTAAAAGATCGGATACAGGAACATAGAGGCCAAAAAATAGTATTTGAGTCACTTCAGGCTGCAGTCTGAACGTAGCCTAAGTCTGTGTTAAAATCGATCTCTCTGTCAAAAGACCCAAGATGTTCATAAACTGTTTAAAATGTCTGTATCTCGATTCAAATGACCAATTGTGACAAATCACAGTGAAAAAAACACATTTCACAACTTTCCTTTAACACAACCACTTCTTCAAACGGTTGAACTCTTATCGTGTCATTCACAGGAGGAGACCGAGCTGCTGAAGCCCGTGACCCAGAGAGTGGAGCGTCCCTTCAGAAAATACTTTATGCAGTACTTTGGGCAGTAGTACTCCGAGGATGAGGTTCAAATACTCCATCCCCGTTGTGTTTGTGCTGGCGCTGGTCATCATCGAGAAAGAGAACAAGATCATATCCAAGTGAGTAATCTATAAGTTATATTTATTTATACTTCCAGGAAAAAAACAACAAAAAGGACTCACCTCTCATTCAGTGTTTTTTATTTTTAAAATTTTCTACTTTCTACATTTCATACATACTGAAGAGATCAAATATATGAAGTAAGACAGATGGTATCATGTATTGAAGATGAACTTAAGTAACTACTGGATAATTTTGACAAAGTAAAGGGTGTCATTTTCTTTGCCTTATAATTTCATATATATTACTTCATATAAGGGTTGGAACATTAACACATTAATTACGATTAATCACTTACAAAGAAAATAATCTATTATAAATAATAACTAATTTTATCGTACTTTGTCAAACAATGCAGGATGTTTGTCAGTGCACACAGTTCTGACTACCGTATATTTCAGACAATAAGGTGCCCCGGATTATAAATCGCAGTATCAGTAATGTTGAATTCTCTCCTTTATTTTCATACATAAGTCACACCGGATTATAAGGTGCATTAAGTGAAACAAACGGACGACACTTGAGACTGACTCTTAGTTCAGGCGTCTACAATCCATTGGCAGATCGTGGTGTAATTCGCCCGGCGTTGCCTCTCTGTCCTGGTGAATGTGGAATATGAAAATGAATGTGGGTGGATCATTTAAGTTTGTTTTTTTATTTCCTATGAGGACGACTCAAATATACATTGAGTATCAATGTGTTTAATGCAGCTTTGCCACATTTGTTTACGTTTTACAGAAGTGAAACTTAAAACTGCATGGCTCATTTACATAAACAAGTGCTGAAAAAAACAGCTGGCACCTTGTGCACTGATGCGGTCAACTTCTGTCCAACTTACACCGCGAGGCTCCTGACTACAACAGCCGTAATGCTCCGATAATCAATCAAGCGGGGCGCGCTTCCTTCCAAAGCTGTACTAAAACATTTTGACAGACTTTTGAGTGACGTGCACCACATAAAATCGGTTCGAGATCATTAATCAGATACATTTTAAATTAAGTCTCACCCTACTTCATGTATTTCATCTCTTCTGCACTATGTAAGTTTTCTGGTTGAGGGTCTGTCACCTGATATGTTTCTATGGAGATGTCATTACTGTGCATTACTGTGGAATGTTCCACAGTATGGCATTAAACACAGGGTTTGTATGGTCATAGAAATCCTGGAAATTGAAAATGTCATTTTCCAGGCCTGGAAAAGTCAAGTAATTGTAGTATCTTCTATCTATCTATATATCTATATATATATTATATATATATATATATATATATATATATATATATATATATATATATATATATATATATATATATATATATATATATTTCACGCAACTACAGCATTCTGTTAAGTTTTCATGAGGCTATTATGATTATTTCTGAATGTTTTCGTCTTTTGTTTAAAAGAGACGACAATAAATACACTGACAGGATTTTGAATGTTAAAAAAATACATATAATATCAGACCATAAGGTGAGAGGAAAGAGTTAACATTTTATATTTAGCTCTGAAAGTCTGATCAATTCTACACATGTAGGTGCTGTAAATTCATGGAAAATTCACTTTAGGATTTGAAAAATTCATGGAAAATTTTAAAAAATCTGTCAGTGAAAAAGAGTAGGAACGCTGTAAACAGCTCTACTTTACATTTATTCAATTACAGGTGGGTTTATAGCTCAAAAATACCTAGAAAAACAAACATTCTCACGGTGAGCGGGGTCGCCTCTCCGCAGATCTGACCTGTAACTTGGTCCAGGTTGGTCTCCGTGAAGATAGAAAGGTGGAATACCATATTGTGAAACATTCCAGAGAGAAAAGCCTTTGACGGACCCTCCACTAGAAAAGTTACACACTATATTAATTAATAATTTCACCATGTCTTCTTGTTTTTCAGGGTGTCAGACAAACTCGCCTTGAAGCAGCCTCCAGACTCCTCCCTCCAGCTCCTGCTCAAACCGAACCACAACGGCTCCTTGATCTTCCACCCCCGGACGAGCGCTCCCGTCTTCACCCTGATGAAACGCCGCCTGGAAAACTACAACTCCCACCAAAACTCCCCAAGGACCAAATCCAAACAAAAACACATCTTGCTTCTGGCTACAACCCGGACTGGCTCGTCTTTCGTAGGAGAATTTTTCAACCAGCAAGGGGACAACATGTTTTACCTTTTCGAACCGCTTTGGCACGTCGAGAAGATGCTCACGTTGGAAGGCGGTGGAACGAACGCAACGGCTGCTGCTAAGGCGTATCGCGACGTCCTTCAACAGCTGTTTCAGTGTGACTTTTCGCTGTTGGAAAGTTTCATCGAACCACCTCCCGTTGACCACGTTACCACGAATCTTTTCCGAAGGTGGTCCAGCAGTTCTTTGTGCGCAGATTCGGTTTGCAGTCCGTTCGTACAAGGAGATTTTGAGAAATTTCACTGCAAAACAAGAAAATGTGGACCGCTGAACTTAACGATGGCGTCGCAATCTTGTTTACAAAAGGATCACAGAGCTATCAAGTCCGTTCGTGTTCGCCAACTGGAGACGTTAAGACCTTTAGCGGAGGACCCAAGATTGGACGTTAAATTTATTCAGTTAGTACGCGACCCGAGAGCCGTGCTGGCGTCTCGAATCGTCGCGTTCGAGCAATACAAGAACTGGAAAGAGTGGGCGACGCAAGGCAACGTTCCTTTAGACGACGACGAAGTTCGGAAGCTAAAAGGAAACTGCGATAACATCCGAACGTCCGCGCAAATCGGGCTCAAGCAACCGAAGTGGCTCCGCGGACGCTACATGCTGGTACGCTACGAGGACATCGCCAGATTCCCGATGAGGAAAGCGGCGGAGATGTACAAGTTTGCTGGAATTCCTTTCACGCCTCAAGTGAAGTCGTGGATCGCGAAAAACACGCAGGTCTCGCAAAAGGAAACCAGCGGCGTTTACTCTTTGCAAAGGAACTCGTCGGAACATGTGGAAAAATGGCGGTTCAGTTTACCGTTTAAAATCGCGCAGGTCGTGCAGAAAGTTTGTAAACCGACGCTGAAACTGTTTGGGTACAAAGTGGTGAACAATGAAAAGATGCTCACGGACAGATCAGTTAGTTTAATAGAAGATAAGGCTTTCAACTTCCCATAGACTGTTCAAGAAAAAAAAACTTTTATTGTGCGTATTTATACTGGTGTTCAGGTGTATTTAAAGACTATTTAAACATGCACTGCGTAACTTTTCTGATGGAGAGTCAGCTACACCACCTGCTTGTCTCCATGGTCGTTGCTATGCCTTGAATGTCCCACAGGGTGGCTTTAAATGCATCTACCGGGACTAAACCGAGTCTACACCGGGACTACACCGGGTCTATACCGGGACTACACCAGGACTATATCTGGACTACACCAGGACTATATCGGGACTACACCGGGACTACACAGGGGCTACACCGGGACTAAACTGGGACTACACCGGGACTAAACTGGGACTACACCGGGTCTATACCGGGACTAAACTGGGACTACACCGGGACTAAACTGGGACTACACCGGGACTAAACCGGGTCTATACCGGGACTAAACTGGAACTACACCGGGACTAAACTGGGACTACACCGGGACTAAACTGGGACTACACCGGGACTAAACCGGGTCTACACCGGGACTAAACCGGGTCTATACCGGGACTACACCGGGGCTACACCGGGACTACACAGGGGCTACACTGGGACTAAACCGGGACTAAACCGGGTCTATACCGGGACTACACTGGGGCTAAACCAGGACTGTACCGGGACTACACCGGGACTACACAGGGGCTACACTGGGACTAAACCGGGTCTATACTGGGACTACACCGGGGCTACACCGGGACTAAACCAGGACTACACCGGGACTATACCGGGATTAAACCAGGATTAATCTTAATTACCTCTGTGGAGCTCTGCACCGGTCCTTTCTCCTGCAGTCACCCAACAGTCTACACGGGCGCACCTCCGACGGTGTCCCGACGTGATTCATGGTTCAGTTCTGGTTTAGTTCTGGTTTAGTCCTGGTTTAGTACTGGTTTAGTCCTGGTTTAGTCCTGGTTTAGTCCTGGTTTAGTCCTGGTTTAGTCTTCCTGGTTCAGTCCTGGAATCCGTCCTAGGTTAGCCCTGGGTTAGCTCTGGTTCAGTACGTGACACGTTTCTTCTGCTTATGCCTGTGAAGTAATGACAGTCGAGGGAGGGATTCATCGCCATGGAGACAAGCAGGTGACAGACTCTCCACTAGAAAAGTTACATGATGCGTCTTTTTAAACCCACGTTCACAGACTCACGTTGAAATCAGTTGACTGTACTGTACGTCTCTCACACATGGGCCTTACTCTTATCAGACGTGTTCTCTTTGCGTTCCACTTTGTTTTCCAGACTATTTGAGGAAAGGGCACTCAGCACAATCAACATAATGTGCCGGGACCAGATAAGCTGCTTCCTGGAATTTTATTTGGGAAGCTCCGGAAGCAGGAACGCCAAAGAAAACTTGAAAAGTACTGGGGAAAAAAAAAAGTATTTACGGACCACACTGGACCAGACCTGCACAGTCACAATGGTGTTTATGGGAGAAATGTTTTTGAGCTGTTTTATAATGAAAAAGTTTAAATAAATAAATGTAAAATTGTGTCGTTGCACCTAAAATTCTTTACATACTGTTAAACCGATGAAGATTTTAAAGGCAAATTGTGTAACTTTTGTGGTGGAGGCTCCGTCAGATGCTTTTCTTTCTCATGGAGATGTTAATATTCAGTCTGGAATGTTTCACAGTATGGCTTTAAACCTTTCTATCTCCATGGGGACCAAACCAGACCAAGTTACAGGCCAGATCTGTGGAGAGGCGACCCCGCTCACAGTCAGAACGTTGTTTTTTTTTAATTTTATTAGGTATTTTTGAGCTTTAAAACCACCTGTAATTGAATAAATGTAAAGTAGAGCTGTTTAATGTCACACTGTGGAACATTGCAGGCAAACTAATGACATCTCCATAGAAACAAACAGGTGACGGACCTCCAACCAAAAAGACACAATGGACGTGATGGTCTAGTTGTTTATGTTGGCATTTGGTTTTGATTTTCAAGACAATTATGCGAGAGAGGCACGTTATTTGGCTCTATTTTTGTTTTTCCTAAAAAGTAAAATGTATTATTATTATTATTATTATTATTATTATTATTATTATTATATTTTTTAAAGAAAGAAAGAAAAAAAACATTAAAATGGAGCCTAAATGACGTGTCTCTCTTTTTTTTTTTTTTTTTGCTTGCCGCTCAGGGCTTCTGGACTGTTCGCTCTCTCTCTTCTTCTTCTCCCTTCTTTTCCCCCTCTACTTCCCTCTTTACTCTTCTCTTACTACTCTTACTCCCCCCTCCCTGTTGCCCTCTGGCCCGTGTGGACCTCTGGTTTGCAGGAGGGTGCAGAGTTTGTCAGTTGTGTGTTGGCTCAGTGTGGAGAAGGTCTGAGCAGATAAAGGCCTAGAAGAACAGTGTGAACGCAGGAGGAGGGACGAGGAAAAGAGGAAGAAAACGAGTGTGTTAACTTTATAAATCAAATCTTTTGTCCATCATTTACCAACTAGAATAAAAGTTAAAGGTCCTATATGACGCAAGCTTTAAGTCATGTTATAATGTTGTTTCCTCCTCAAAAACAGACCTGGAGTTGTGTTTTGTTTCATTCATAAAATAATTAATTATTTAATCATTGCTTAGCCTTTCAAGACACCCAAAGCACTTTACAGATCATTATTCATTCAGTCAACACTCAGTGGTGGTAAACTACTACAGTCCCTGACTTTGACTTTTGTCTTGCCAAAATCTGACCTTTCTGTGTTCATTAAATGATCAGTCTTTCTTCAGTGAAGCTAATTTATTTTAGTATATTGAGCATAATTTGGGAGGGTTTTAGCTTCATATGAGACATTTCTAAAACCAATCGATTAATTTAAAGTCAGGTTATAAGCTTTTGTTTCTACAAAATGGATAAGCGACAAGACTTTTGTCAGGGACTGTACTGTAGCCACAATTGCCCTGGGACAGACCAATGGTTCCCCTGGAGGAGCTGGAGGAAGTGTCTGGGGTGAAGGAAGTCTGGGAGTCCCTGCTTAAACTGCTGCCCCTGCGACCTCTGGATAAGCGGAAGAAAATGGATGGATGGCAAACCGACAGAAGTGAGTCGATCGATCTTCGCCATTGGCCTCTCCGACCTCTACCAACATGCAAGCACACTCCACTTTCATACTAGACAATGTGGGTGAAGTGTCTTGCCTAAGGACACAATGACTGTGGCACCTAAAACTCCCAGTGGTCTCCCATCCAAGTACTAATCAGTCCCGGCCTTTGAGCTTCTGAGATTTGACGAGATCAGACTTTGACAAACCGGTATGACCACAAATGGCTTGTCAAAAGTTGTCAAACGTTTGAGTAACTCTATTATATTATTATATTATTATTGTCTGTCTACATCTCCAAAGCTCCACTCAGTTCTACCTTGTGATGTCATGAAGCGGTAGTTTTTAAGTTTACAGCTCCTTTTAGTGTAAAAAAAACAAAAACACCGTTGCTGAATCCACGGTTTTATCCCATGCCCAGTGTCGGGAACTGCACTGAAAGTCGTCATCCGCATGTTTCCAAACGTCCTCCGATAAGCGTGAATAGAGCATATTACTCACCACAATGGATTTGTAAGAGCTTCTCACAACCAGCAACAACAACACTTGCAAAAACTAGCATGCTAACAGTACACTTCCTGATTCTCGGACAAGAAAACGATTCATAATTAGGTGCAGACAGAACAAAGCGGACGTATTTTGACCTCAAGAGCTGCTTACACAATCTGTCTATACTGGGGCAATACTAATTTTGCTAAAAAACAAATAAAAAAAGTGCATTGTGTAACTTTTTGTGTCTCTTTGGAGATGCGTTGGTTTAAATTATCAAATGAAACAGAAAACACACACTAAAGTTTTTGTAGAGGTGCAAATGGATCACAGACACGACCAAAGCAAGAAAAATGATCTGACGAAGTTTTTTTTTTTTTTTTTTTTGCCGAAACCTGATTTAAAAATAAAAACATCGACCGTCTGAGTGTGTAATGCATTTTTTTCACTTTTATTTTAGTTTAAATTGTCCACAAAATGGCATTAAACTAATCCGTCTTGCATTTATTCAACTCCAGGTGTTATTTATTGCTCAAAAATATCTTTAAAAACATTCATTCTTACTGTGAGCAGGTCTGGAGATTCATAACTTTACGGCCTTTATTTATTGTGCAGGTACCTGAAAAGTTCCGCAATGCACCTTTACCTTCACTGGACCAAGACTAAACAGAGACGTTAAGCGACACTGACTCACACGAGGCGCTGAAGGGTCCGTCCTCACTCGAGTTTTAACGACATGTTCGAGTATTTTTAGCCGCTGCGTTTTTTTAACCAAACTGAACGAGAGACTTTCTGATGTGGCGTTCTTAATGATGTTAATGCGGCGCAGCTCATAAAAAGTACATTAATGTCAGTGGTCGTTTAACATCACAGCGACTCCACCAAACCCTCACATGAAACTGCAAACTCTTTGTTTAGAAGTAGAGACGTATTAAAGGTTGTATAGAGGGTTTTTTAAGGGAAGTGAAATACAGCGACCATCAGTGTTGGGAGTAACGCGTTATAAAAGTAACGAATTACAGTAATGCATTACTTTTTGCTGTAATGCAGTAAT